AATGTCCCCGGGGGGACACAGGATCAGAGGGACCCCAAATGTCCCAGGGGGACACGGGGTCAGGGGACCCCAAATATCCCCATGGGAGGACACGGGGTCAGGGGACTCCAAATGTCCCCGTGGGGGACACAGGGACCCAAATGTCCCCAGGGGGACACAGGGTCAGGGGACCCCAAATGTCCCCAGGAGGGGCACATGGGGTCAGGGGACCCAAATGTCCCCGTGGGGGACACGGTAGGGCCCCAAATGTCCCCGGGGGGACACGAGGGTCAGGGGCCCCAAATGTCCCTGGGGGGACACGGGGTCAGGGGGACCCCAAATGTCCCCGTGGGGGCAAGGGGTCAGGGGGACCCACAAATGTCCCCAGGGGACAGGGTCCCAAATGTCCCCAGGGAGGGACACGGGGTCAGGGGACACAAATGTCCCCGTGGAGGACACAGGGGACCCAAATGTCCCCAGGGGGACACGGGGTCAGGGGACCCCAAATGTCCCCGTGGGGGGACACGGGGTCAGGGGGACCCCAAATGTCCCCCGTCAGGGAGGACCCCAAATGTCCCCGAGGGGCACAGGGGTCAGGGGACCCCAAATGTCCCTGGGAGGGGACAGGGGACCCCAAATGTCCCCGTGGGGGACACGGGGTCAGGGGACCCAAAATGTCCCCGGGGGGACACAGGGTCGCCCCAAATGTCCCCAGGGGGACACGGGGTCAGGGGGACCCAAATGTCCCCGTGGGGGCACGAGTCAGGGGACCCAAATGTCCCCAGGGGGACACGGGTCAGGGGACCCCAAATGTCCCCAGGAGGGACACGGGGTCAGGGGGACCCCAAATGTCCCCATGGGGGACACGGGTCAGGGGACTCAAATGTCCCCGTGGGGGACACGAGGTCAGGGGGACCCAAATGTCCCCGTGGAGGGACACGGGGTCAGGGGGACCCAAATGTCCCCGGGGGACACAGGGTCCCAAATGTCCCCAGGGAGGGACACGGGGTCAGGGGGTTCCAAATGTCCCCAGGGGACACGGGGTCAGGGACCCAAATGTCCCCTTGGGGGACACAGGGTCAGGGCCTCAAATGTCCCTAGGGGGACACGGGGTCAGGGGGCCCCAAATGTCCCCGTGGGGGACACGAGGTCAGGGGACCCAAATGTCCCCCGGGGGCACACGGGGTCAGGGACCCAAATGTCCCCATGGGGGACACGGGTCAGGGGCCCCAAACATCCCCAGGAGGGACACTGCGGTCAGGGGACCCCAAATGTCCCCGTGGGGGGGACACAGGGTCCCAAATGTCCCCAGGGGGACACGGGATCAGGGGTCCCAAATGTCCCTGGGGGGACACGTGGGCCCCAAATGTCCCCAGGGGGACACGGGATCAGGGGGTCCCAAATGTCCCTGGGGGACACAGGGGTCAGGGGACCCCAAATGTCCCCAGGGGGACACGAGGTCAGGGGCCAGAAATGTCCCCGTGGGGGAGACAGGGGTCGGGGGACCTCAAATGTCCCCATGGAGGGTCAGGGGGACCCCAAATGTCCCCAGGGAGGGACACGGGGTCAGGGGGACCCCAAATGTCCCCGGGGGGAGACACGGGGCCCAAATGTCCCTGGGGGGGCACAGGGGGTCAGGGGGACCCCAAATGTCCCCAGGGTGGGGACACGGGGTCAGGGGGGTCACAAATGTCCGTGGGGTGGGACACAGGGACCCCCCAGCACCCCAAAATCTGTGGGGCCAAGGGGTGACAGAGACCCCAAAACCCAATTTGGGGGTGACAGAGACCACCAACCCCTCTCCCTGGGGGGGGTGAAATGGACCCCAACCCTGTCCCTGGGGGGGTCACAGGGACCCCCAGGACCCCAACCCTGTCCATGGGGGGTGACAGGGACCCCAACCCTGTCCCTGGGGGGGTCACAGGGACCCCAACTCTGTCCCTGGGGGGTGACAGGGACCCCAACCCTGTCCCTGGGGGGGTCACAGGGACCCCCAGGACCCCAACCCTGTCCCTGGGGGGGGTGACAGGGACCCCAACCCTGTCCCTGGGGGGGTGACAGGGACCCCAACCCTGTCCCTGGGGGGTCACAGGGACCCCCAGGACCCCAACCCTGTCCCTGGGGGGTGACAGGGACCCCAACCCTGTCCCTGGGGGGGGTGACAGGGACCCCAACCCTGTCCCTGGGGGGTCACAGGGACCCCAACCCTGTCCCTGGGGGGTCACAGGGACCCCAACCCTGTCCCTGGGGGGGTCACAGGGACCCCAACCCTGTCCCTGGGGGTGACAGGGACCCCAACCCTGTCCTGGGAGGTCACAGGGACCCCAGGACCCCAACCCTGTCCCTGGGGGGCAGGGACCCCCAGGACCCCAACCCTGTCCCTGGGGGGTGACAGGGACCCCAACCCTGTCCCTGGGGGGGGTGACAGGACCCCAACCCTGTCCCTGGGGGGTGACAGGGACCCCAACCCTCTCCATGGGGGGGGTGACAGGGACCCCCAGGACCCCAACCCTGTCCCTGGGGGTGACAGGGACCCCAACCCTGTCCCTGGGGGTCACAGGGACCCCAACTCTGTCCCTGGGGGTGACAGGGACCCCCAGGACCCCAACCCTGTCCCTGGGGGGGTCACAGGACCCCAACCCTGTCCCTGGGGGTGACAGGGACCCCAACCCTGTCCCTGGGGGTCACAGGACCCCAGGACCCCAACCCTGTCCCTGGGGGTGACAGGGACCCCAACCCTGTCCCTGGGGGGGTCACAGGGACCCCAACCCTGTCCATGGGGGGGTGACAGGGACCCCAACCCTGTCCCTGGGGGGGGTGTCACAGGGACCCCCAGGACCCCAACCCTGTCCCTGGGGGGGTGACAGGGACCCCAACCCTGTCCCTGGAGGGGTGACAGGGACCCCCAGGACCCCAACCCTGTCCTTGGAGGGGTGACAGGGACCCCAACCCTGTCCCTGGGGGGGGTCACAGGGACCCCCAGGACCCCAACCCTGTCCCTGGGGGGGTCACAGGGACCCCAACCCTGTCCCTGGGGGGGTCACAGGGACCTCCAGGACCCCAACCTTGTCCCTGGGGGGGTCACAGGGACCCCCAGGACCCCAACCCTCTCCATGGGGAGTGACAGGGACCCCAACCCTGTCCCTGGGGGGTCACAGGGACCCCCAGGACCCCAACCCTGTCCCTGGGGGGGTCACAGGACCCTCACCCCCCCCCTCCCCGCCCGTTTTTGGGGTACCCACCGGGTTGTAGGCGGGCAGGTACCCGGGCGCGGGGACGAAGGCCATGGCTGGTGGTACTGGTGGCACTGGTGGTACTGGTGGCACTGGTGGCACTGGTGGCACTGGTGGTACTGGTGACACTGGTGACGCCACGGGGGGCCCTTTATACCCCTCCCCCAACGTGGGGCCCCCCCAGTGCCGGCCCCTCCCAGGGCGGGGAACGGACTTTGACCCCCCCCCGGATACGGGAATTGGGGTGGGGAGGGGGTGACACACCTGGCACAGGTGACAAACCTGGCACAGGGGACAGAACTGGCACAGGGGACACTCCTGGCACAGGGGACAGACCTGGCACAGGTGGCACTCCTGGCACAGGGGACACTCCTGGACACTCCTGGCACAGGGGACAGACCTGGCACAGGGGACAGACCTGGTACAGGGGACACACCTGGCACAGGGGACAGAACTGGAACGGGACACTCCTGGCACAGGTGACACTCCTGGCACAGGGGACACTCCTGGCACAGGTGACACTCCTGGCACAGGTGGCACTTCTGGCACAGGGGACAGAACTGGCACAGGGGACACTCCTGGCACAGGGGACACTCCTGGTACAGGGGACACTGCTGGTACAGGGGACACTCCTGGACACTCCTGGTACAGGGGACACTCCTGGACACTCCTGGTACAGGGGACAGAACTGGCACAGGGGACAGACCTGGCACAGGGGACACTGCTGGTACAGGGGACAGAACTGGCACAGGGGACAGACCTGGCACAGGGGACACTCCTGGCACAGGGGACACTCCTGGACAGACCTGGCACAGGGGACACTCCTGGACACTCCTGGCACAGGGGACACTCTTGGCACAGGGGACACACCTGGCACAGGTGGCACTCCTGGCACAGGTGACACCGCCCCGGACTCTGCCCTGGGAGGGACCGGATGGGACACAGGGACCTTGACCCCCCCCGGGGGCACCTTGGGGACCCCCAGATCCCTGTCAGCCCCCCCAGTACAGAGACACCAGGGAAACCAGTTAAACCAGTATGGACACACCAGTGGCACCAGTTAAACCAGTACAGAGATACCAGTGAAACCAGTACAGAGACACCAGTGTAATCAATACAGAGACACCAGTGAAACCAGTACAGAGACACCAGGGGAACCAGTACAGGGACACCATTGAAACCAGTACAGAGACACCAGTGAAACCAGTACAGAGATAGCAGGGAAACCAGTACAGAAACACCAGTGAAACCAGTACAGAGATACCAGTGAAACCAGTACAGAGACACCAATGCAATCAATACAGAGCCACCAGTGAAACCAGTACAGAGATAGCAGTGAAACCAGTACAGAGACACCAGGGGAACCAGTACAGGAACACCAGTGAAAACAGTACAGGAACACCAGTGAAACCAGTACAGAGACACTAGGGGAACCAGTACAGAGTCACCAGTGAAACCAGTACAGGGACACCAATTCCCCCAGCACCCCCGATGCCCTCCCAGTCCCTCCCCCATCGCTCCCAGCCCCTCCCAATCCATTCCCAGTCCCTCCCAATCCACTCTAATCCATTCCCAGTCCCTCCCCCATCGCTCCCAGTCCCTCCCAATCCTCCCAGTCCCTCCCCTCCTCCCCCTTCTTTCCCGGCGTCCCGCGCCGATGGATCCGCTGATCCGCTGGATCCGGGGCCCGGGGGTCCTCGGCGAAAGGGGGCGGCTTTTGGGGGTGAGGAGGGTCGGGGGTGTCCTGCCTTGAGGGGGTCCCTTTGGGGGTTTCCCAAAATCGCAGCCATGGGCGAGTGGACCATCCTGAGCGGCTGCTGGAGGCGGCCGTGCAGCAACACTCCACCATGATCGGCAGGTCAGGAGACCTCCGGGACCCCCCAAATCCCCTCGAGACCCCCCAAACTCCCTGGGATCCCCCAAACCCCTGCCTCCATCCATCCCCCCCAATCCCAAAAGCCCCTTCTCTGGATCGCCGAGATCCCCGCGGAGCTCCGACATTTCCCCCAGACCTCCCCAAACTCCCACTCTGGGACCCCCCAAATCCCTGGGATCCCCAAACCCCCGGACCCTCCATCCACACTCCCCCACCCAAAAACCCCGACATTCCTCTGAACCCCCTGGATCCCCCCTAAACTCCCGAAGACCCCTCCCCGGACCTTGAAAACAGGATTTGGGATCAGGAGGGTCAGGATTTAGGGGGACAGGTGGGACTGGGGGGGGACAGGATTTGGGGGGACAGGTGGGATTGGGGGGAGACAGGTGGGGTCAGGGACAGGATTTGGGGTCTGGGGTCAGGATTTGGGGTCTGGGACACAATTTGGCATCTGGGACAGGGTTTGGGGTCAGAGGGGACAGGATTCGAGGTCAGGGACAGGATTTGGCATCTGGGACAGGGTTTGGGGTCAGGGGGGACAGGATTTGATTTGGGGTCAGGGACAGGATTTGGGGTCAGGGACAGGATTTGGGGTCTGGGTCAGGATTTGGGATCGGGGGACAGGATTTGGGGTCAGGGACAGGATTTGGGATCAGAGGGGACAGGATCTGGGGTCAGGGGGACAGGATTCGGGGTCAGGGTCAGGATTTGGGGTCAGGGTCAGGATTTGGGGTCAGGGTCAGGATTTGGGATCAGAGGGGACAGGATTCGGGATCAGGGACAGGATTTGGGGTCAGGGACAGGATTTGGGGTCAGGGGGGACAGGATTTGATTTGGGGTCTGGGTCAGGATTTGGGATCAGGGAAAGGATTCGGGATCAGGGACAGGATTTGGGATCAGAGGGGTCAGGATTTGGGGTCTGGTGGGTCAGGATTTGATTTGGGGTCTGGTGGGACAGGATTTGGGATCAGGGACAGGATTTGGGGTCAGGGACAGGATTTGTGGTTCAGGTGGGACAGGATTCGATCTCTGTGTCCCCCCCTGCCCAGGATCCTGCTGACGGTGGTGGTGATCTTCCGCATCCTGATCGTGGCCATCGTGGGCGAGACGGTGTACGAGGACGAGCAGGCCATGTTCACCTGCAACACCCTGCAGCCCGGCTGCCACCAGGCCTGCTACGACCAGGCCTTCCCCATCTCCCACATCCGCTACTGGGTCTTCCAGATCATCCTGGTGTGCACGCCCAGCCTCTGCTTCATCACCTACGCCGTGCACCGCGCGGCCAAGCGGCGCGAGCGCCGCGGCCCCTTCCCCAAATTCCAGCCCGACGGACCCTCGGACCCCAAAGAGGTGGCGTCGGCACCGCCCGAAAATCACCGACAGCGTCGCCGGCGGCGTCCCCAGGAGGGTCTGTCGCGGTTCTACGCGGTGCAGGTGCTGTTCCGCAACGCGCTGGAGCTCGGCTTCCTGGGCGGGCAGTACCTGCTGTACGGGTTCCGCGTGCCGGCCAGCGTGGAGTGCGGCCGCTACCCCTGCGTGCGCCAGGTGGAGTGCTACGTGTCGCGGCCCACCGAGAAAACGCTCTTCCTCGCCTTCATGTTCGCCGTCTCGGGCGTCTGCGTCCTCCTCAACCTGGCCGAGCTCAACCACCTGGGCTGGCGCAAGGTCAGGGCCGCGGTCAGGGGGGCCAGGGCCAGGAGGAGGTCGGTGCGGGGCAAGGACGCGGCGGGAGGAGCCGGGGGAGGCGGCGGCGTGGACGGCACGGTGACGGTGGCTGGACTGGGCAGGACGCAGTCCAGTGAGTCGGCCTATGTGTGAATGGGATGGAACTGGGCTGAACTGGGCTGAACTGGGGCCACCATGGGCAGGACGCAGTCCAGTGAGTCAGCCTATGTGTAAATGGGATGGAACTGGTCTGAACTGGGACCCACGTGTGACAGCCCAGCCTGGGCAGGACGCAGTCCAGTGAGTCGGCCTACGTGTGAATGGGATGGAACTGGTCTGAACTGGGGCCTACATGTGAATGATTGATAGACAGGCCTGGTCTGAACTGGGACCCACGTGTGACAGCCCAGCCTGGGCAGGACGCAGTCCAGTGAGTCGGCCTATGTGTAAATGGGATGGAACTGGGCTGAACTGGGGCCACCATGGGCAGGACGCAGTCCAGTGAGTCGGCCTACGTGTAAATGGGATGGAACTGGGCTGAACTGGTCTGAACTGGGGCCACCATGGGCAGGACGCAGTCCAGTGAGTCGGCCTACGTGTGAATGGGATGGAACTGGGCTGAACTGGGGCCTGTGTGTAAATGCTGGGGATGGAACTGGGTAGAGACTGGGGCCTCCAGTGAGTCAGCCTATGTGTAAATGGGATGGAACTGGGCTGAACTGGGGCCTATGTGTAAATGGGATGGAACTGGGCTGAACTGGGGCCTATGTGTAAATGGGATGGAACTGGGCTGAACTGGGGCCTATGTGTAAATGGGATGGAACTGGTCTGAACTGGGGCCCACGGGTGGATGGAACTGGTCTGAACTGGGACCCACGTGTGACAGCTCAGCCTGGGCAGGACGCAGTCCAGTGAGTCAGCCTACGTGTAAATGGGGATGGAACTGGTCTGAACTGGGGCCTATGTGTAAATGGGATGGAACTGGTCTGAACTGGGGCCTGGGTGTGAATGGGGGATGGAACTGGGCTGAACTGGGACCTGTGTGTAAATGGGGGATGGAACTGGTCTGAACTGGGGCCTATGTGTAAATGGGATGGAACTGGGCTGAACTGGGACCTATGTGTAAATGGGATGGAACTGGTCTGAACTGGGGCCTATGTGTAAATGGGATGGAACTGGGCTGAACTGGGGCCTATGTGTAAATGGGGATGGAACTGGGCTGAACTGAGGCCTATGTGTAAATGGGGGGATGGAACTGGGCTGAACTGGGGCCTATGTGTAAATGGGATGGAACTGGGCTGAACTGGGGCCTATGTGTGAATGGGGTGGAACTGGGCTGAACTGGGGCCTGTGTGTAAATGGGATGGAACTGGTCTGAACTGGGGCCTATGTGTAAATGGGATGGAACTGGGCTGAACTGGGGCCTATGTGTAAATGGGGTGGAACTGGGCTGAACTGGGCTGAACTGGGGCCTACATGTGACAGCCCAGCCTGGGCAGGACGCAGTCCAGTGAGTCGGCCTACGTGTAAATGGGATGGAACTGGTCTGAACTGGGGCCTGTGTGTAAATGGGGGATGGAACTGGGCTGAACTGGGGCCTATGTGTAAATGGGGATGGAACTGGTCTGTACTGGGGCCTAGGTGTAAATGGGATGGAACTGGGCTGAACTGGGGCCTATGTGTAAATGGGATGGAACTGGTCTGAACTGGGGCCTATGTGTAAATGGGATGGAACTGGTCTGAACTGGGGCCTGTGTGTAAATGGGGGATGGAACTGGGCTGAACTGGGGCCTATGTGTGAATGGGATGGAACTGGGCTGAACTGGGGCCTATGTGTAAATGGGATGGAACTGGGCTGAACTGGGGCCTGTGTGTAAATGGGATGGAACTGGGCTGAACTGGGGCCTATGTGTAAATGGGGATGGAACTGGTCTGTACTGGGGCCTAGGTGTAAATGCTGGGCCTGGACCGTGGGTGCCAGGCCCGGTGTGAACTGGGGCCCACGTGTGACAGCCCGGCCCACGTGTAAATGGAGGGCCTGGTGTAAAACCCTGGGCCTACACGTGATCCAAAGGCCTGCACTGTGGGAGATTGGTGTGGACTAAACCCTGTCCTATGTGTAAACGATGGATAGATAGGCCTGGTCTAAAGTGGGGCCTACGTGTAAATGATGGGCCTGGATTGTGGGAGATTGGTCTGGTTTAAATTGGAGCCTACAAGTGACAAAAAGGCCTGGTTGAAACTGGGGCCTGCGTGTAAATGACAGAAAGGTCTGGTGTAAATGATGGGCCTGGATTGTGGGAGATTGATCTGGCCTAAACTTGGGCCTACAAGTGACAAAAAGGCCTGGTTGAAACTGGGGCCTACAAGTGACAGAAAGGCCTGGTTGAAACTGGGGCCTACAAGTGACAGAAAGGACTGGTGTAAACTGGGGCCTACAAGTGACAGAAAGGCCTGGTCTAAACTGGGGCCTACAAGTGACAAAAAGGACTGGTCTAAACTGGGGCCTACAAGTGACAGAAAGGCCTGGTTGAAACTGGGGCCTACAAGTGACAGAAAGGACTGGTCTAAACTGGGGCCTACAAGTGACAGAAAGGCCTGGTCTAAACTGGGGCCTACAAGTGACAGAAAGGACTGGTGTAAATGATGGGCCTGGATTGTGGGAGATTGGTCTGGTCTAAATTGGGGCCTACAAGTGACAGAAAGGCCTGGCCTAAACTCGGGTCCTGGGCAGGAGCAGCCCAGCGAGCCGACCCACGGGTGGATGGTGGTGGAAAGGCCCGAATTTGGAGGGTTTGGAGCCAAAATTGACCCCCAAAATGTTGAGGTTTCAACCCCAAAAATGTTGGGGTTTGACCCCCAAATTTTGGGGGGTTTACAGCCAAAATGACCCCCAAAAATGTTGGGGTTTCACTTCCAAATTTGGGGGGGTTGGAGCCAAAATGACCCCCAAAAATCTTGAGGTTTCACCCCCCCCAAATCTGGAGGGTTTGGAGTCAAAATTGACCCCCAAAACGTTGAGGTTTTCAACCCCAAAAATGTTGGGGTTTGACCCCCAATTTGGGAGCCAAAATGACCCCCCAGATTTTGGGGGGTTTGGAGCCAAAACGACCCCCAGAATGTTGGGGGGGTTCACCCAAATTTCGAGGGTTTGGAGCCAAAATGACCAGACTTTCACCCCAAAAATGTTGGGGTTTCACCCCCAATTTTGGGGGGGGTTTGGGGTCCAAATGACCCCCAAAATGTTGGGGTTCCACTTCCAAATTTCAGGGGTTTTGAGCCAAAATGACCTCTAAAAATGTTGGGATTTCACTTCCAAATTTCAGGGGTTTGGAGCCAAAATGACCTCTAAAATGTTGGGGTTTCACCCCCAAATCTCAGGGCTCCCCCAAAATTTCAGGGTCCCCCCCCCAAAAAAAGGTGCAGAACGGGGCCTTGGGGATTTCAGGGGGTAGGGGAATATATTTATATTTTTTGGGTGGGTGTTTTTATTTATTTGGGCTGTATTTATATTTTTTTGGGCTGTATTTATATTTTTTGGGGGTTGTATTTATATTTTTGGGGGGTTGTATTTAAATTTTAGGGGTGTTGTATTAATTTTTGGGGGCTGTATTTATATTTTTTGGGGGTTGTATTTAAATTTGGGGTGTTGTATTAATTTTTGGGGGGTGTATTTATATTTTTGGGGGTTGTATTTATATTTTTGGGGGTGTATTTAAATTTGGGAGCGTTGTATTAATTTTTTGGGGTTGTATTTATATTTTTGGGGGTGGTATTTAAATTTTGGGGGGTGTATTTATAATTTTGGGGGTGCTTTTATTACTCTGTAAATAAAAACCATCCACAGGCACTCGCTGAGCCCTCGGGGGAGGGGTCTCTGGGGTGTTTTTAGGGGTGTTCCCCCCCAAAAAGGTTCAGACCCCCCCAAAGAGGTTCAGACCCCCAAATCCCCTTGGAGGTCCAATTGCCCCCAACCCCCTCTGCTCCCTCCTGGGGGTAAATTTGCCCCTTGGGAGGTCCAATTTCCTCAGCCCTTCCGGGGGGCTTCAATTGCCCCAAACCTCCCAAATCCCCCTGGGGTCCAACTGCCCCCAACTCCCTCCCTGGGGCAATTGCCCTTGGGGTCCACTGCCCCCAACCCCCAGCCTCCCTGGGGTCCACTGTTCCAACCCCCATTTCCTTGGGGGCAATTGCCCTCGGGAGGTCCAATTGTCCCCAATCCCCTGGGGTCCACTTGCCCCCAACCCCCCCAACTCCTTCCTGGGGGTAAATTTCTGCCCTTGGGAGGTCCAATCTGCCCCCAATCTTCCAATTTCCTCTGGAAATCCTCTGGGGGTCCAATTGTCTCCAAACCCCCCACTCACTTCTCCTTGGGGGTAAATTTGCTCCCTTTGGGGGTCCAATTGTCCCCAAATCTCTCCCTGGGGTCCAATTGCCCCCTCAACCCCCAAATCCCCAGGGGGCTCCAATTGCCTCCCAAAAACCCCCAGGCTGCTCCGCCCAGGTCCTTTATTGGGGGTCTTTGATCACACCCTAAAAAACAGACAATGGGGGGGTTCAGGGGGTCCAGGGAGTGTCCCTACCTTTGGGTGACTCCCCTGCCCCCCCACTCACGTGACTGCCCGGAAGGTTCTTTTTTCCACGTATTTCACCCGGTACCTCCTCTTGAACCTTGGGGCAAAAAACGGGGGTTGGGTCAAAATTCACTCCCTACAAACCCCTGGGGGGGTCCCCATGGATTTTGGGGCGCCCCACCCCCCCAAAAATGACCCCCCATTCCCTTTTTTTGTCACTCACTTGGCCCTTTCTCGGGGCTCGATCAGGTTCCTCCTCTGGAGGCTCTTGAAGCGATCCCGGAGCACGTGCCCTTCAGGCTGGGGGTTTTGGGGGGAATTTCCACGTTTTTGGGGGCATTCCCAAGCTTTTGGGGTGTCCCCGAATTTTTAAAGGGCTCAGAGCCCCCCCTGACCCCCATTTGGGATCTCTGAGCCCCCCCAGGGTGGATCTCTGAAGCAATCCCAGAGCACATGCCCTTCAGGCTGGGGGTTTTGGGGGGAATTCCCAAATTTTCTGGGGCATTCCCAAGTTTTTTAGGGAATTCCCAGGTTTTTTGGGGTGTCCCCGAATTTTTAAAGGGCTCAGAGCCCCCCCTGACCCCCAAATTTGGGGTCTCTGAGCCCCCCCAGGGTGGATCTCTGAAGCGATCCCGGAGCACGTGCCCTTCAGGCTGGGGGTTTTTGGGGGGAATTCACAGCTTTTTGGGGGCATTCCCAAATTTTCTGGGTGCCCAGTTCCTGGGTGTCCCGAATTTTTAGGGCTCAGACCTCCTGACCCCAATTTAGGGTCTCGACCCCAGGTGGTCTCAGGGCATCAGAGCACGGCCCTCAGGCCGGGGGTTTGGAACACAGCTTTGGGGCATTCCCAAATTTTCTGGGGCGTCCCAGGTTTCGGGGTGTCCCGACTTTTGGGGCTCAGAGCCCCCCGACCCCAAATTTGGGACTGACCTCTAGGTGGATCTCTGAAGCGATCCCGGAGCACGTGCCCTTCAGGCTGGGGGTTTTGGGGGGAATTCCCAGCTTTTTGGGGGCATTCCCAAATTTTCTGGGGCATCCCCAAGTTTTCTGGGGTGTCCCCGAATTTTTTAGGGGCTCAGAGACCCCCTGACCCCCAGTTTGGGGGTCCCACCCCCCAACACCCATCGTGTTCCTCCTCTGGAGGCTCTCGAAGCGATCCCGATTTTGGGGAGAATTCCCAGGTTTTCTGGGGAGAATTCCCAGATTTTTGGGGCATTCCCAGATTTTCTAGGGCGTTCCCAAATTTCTAGGGTGTCCCCAGATTTCTAAGGGCCCAGAGCCTCCCAACCCCAGTTTGGGGTCCCACCTCCAACACCCATCGTTGTTCCTCCTCTTGAAGCCATCCTGATTTCGGGAGGAATTCCCAGATTTTTTGGGGGAATTCTCATTTTTTTAAGGCATTCCCAGATTTTTTAGGGTGTCCCCAAATTTCTAAGGATCCCAGAGCCCCCTCAACCCCCAGTTTGGGGGTCCCATCCCCAAAACCCATCGTGTTCCTCCTCTTGAAGCCATCCTGATTTCGGGAGGAATTCCCAGATTTTTTGGGGGAATTCCCATTTTTTTAAGGCATTCCCAGATTTTTTTGGGGTATCCCCGAATTTCTCAAGGTGTCAGAGGCCCCCCTGCCCCTCAAATTTGGGGGTCCCACCCCCCAAAACCCATCATGTTCCTCCTCTTGAAGCCATCCCAATTTCGGGGGGAATTCCCACGTTTTTGGGGGGAATTCCCAGATTTTTGAGGGAATTCCCAGTTTTTTTAAGGCATTCCCAGATTTTTTGGGCTATCCCCGAATTTCTAAGGTCTCAGAGCCCCCCCAGCCCCCAGTTTGGGGGTCCCAGCCCCCTCAGCCCCCGGGGTCCCGACCCCGAGCCGGGTCCCCGGGACCCCAAAATCCTTCACATTCCCGGGCTGGGGAATTCTGGGAGCGCAAGGATGAGGCTCATCACGGGGGGCTGCCACCCAAAACCGGGGGGTTTCACCCCAAAAACACCCACCCTGAGGCTCCTCAGGGACTCGGGGAGCTCCTGGCTCAGCTGCACCTCCGGCCCGGCATCCTCGTACCTGGGAGGGGGACAAAAAAACAACCCCAAATTGGCTTTTTTGGCCCCAAAATCGGCTTTTCTTGCCCCAAAATTGTTTTTTTTTCCCCAAAATTGGCTTCTCCCACCCCAAAATTGGCTTTTTTTCGCTCCCAAATCTGCTTTTTTTGCCCCAAAAGTGCCTTTTCTCACCCCAAAATTGTTTTTTCTCACCCCAAAATCCCCCTTTTCCCCCCCAAACCCCCCCTATCCCTCCCCAAAATCCCTTTCTCCCCTCCCCACCGTGTCCTGCCGAGCCTCTTTGGTTCCCGTTCCCGCTGTCTCTGTCGCAGCTCCCGGAGGTTCCCCCTCCAAACCCCCTTTTTCCCCAAAAATCCTTTTCCCCCAAAAATCCCTTTTTCCTCCCCCAACTCCCCTCCCCCAAAAAATTCATTTTTCCTCTCCCCAAAACCCCTTTTTCCCCAAAAACCCTTTTCCCCCCTAAAACTCCTTTTTCCCCCAAAAACCCCTTTTTCCCCCAAAACTCCTTTTTCCCCAAAACCCCCTTTTTCCCCAAAACTCCCCTTTTTCCCCAAAACCCCTTTTTCCCCAAAGCCCTTTTTCCCCTTTCCCTCCCCACCGTGTCCTGCCGAGCCTCTTTGGTTCCCGTTCCTGCTGTCTCCGTCGCAGCTCCCAGAGGTTCCCCCTCCAAACCCCCTTTTTCCCCAAAATCCCTTTTTCCCCCAAAAATCCCTTTTTCCCCAACGCCCCAAAACTCCCTTTTTCCCTCCCCAAAACTCCTTTATTCCCCAAAAACTCCTTTTTCCCCAAACCCCTTTTCCCCAAAAACCCCCTTTTTCCCCCAAAACCCCTTTTTCCCCAAAAACCCCTTTTTCCCCCCAAAAACCCCTTTTTCCCCAAAACCCTTTTTCCCCCAAAACCTTTTTCCCCCAAAACCCCTTTTTCCCCAAAAACTCCCTTTTTCCCCCCAAAACTCCCTTTTTCCCCAAAAACCCCTTTTTTCCCAAACTCCTTTTTTTTTCTCCCCTCCCCACCGTGTCCTGCCGAGCCTCTTTGGTTCCCTGCCTCGCTGTCTCCGTCGCAGCTCCCGGAGGTTCCCCCTCCAAACCCCGCCTTTTTTCTCCAAAAATCCCTTTTCCCTCCCCAAACGCCCCCCAAAAACCTCTTTTTCCCCTCCCCAAAACCCCTTTTTCCCCAAAAACTCCCTTTTTCCCCCAAAACTCCTTTTTCCCCCCAAAACCCCTTTTTCCCCAAAAACTCCCTTTTTCCCCTAAAATCCCCCCTTTTTTTCCCAAAAAAACCCTTTTTTCCCCCTTTCCCCCTCCCCACCGTGTCCTGCCGAGCCTCTTTGGTTCCCGTTCCCGCTGTTTCTGTCGCAGCTCCCGGAGGTTCCTGCGGAGCCGGAGCCGCTCCTGGCGCTGCCTCAGGAGCCTCCGCAGGGAGCGCAGCTGGAACAGCCCCTGCAGCCGCTGCGTGGCCAGACGGGATCCTGCCTGGAGCTGCCTCTGTGGAATTCCCATGGATCAATCCCCAGGGATCAAATCCCAATGGATCAATCCCCAGGGATCCACCCCCATCCCTGACCCAGAACAGCCCCTGCAGCCGCTGCGTGGCCAGACGGGATCCTGCCTGGAGCTGTCTCTGTGGGGATTCCAGGGAATATCCCAATGGATCCATCCCAATGGATTAAATCCCCATGGATTAAATCCCAATGGATCCATCCCCACGGATCAAATTCCAATGGATCAAATCCCCATGGATCAATCCCCATGGATCCACCCCCATCCCTGACCCAGAACAGCCCCTGCAGCCGCTGCGTGGCCAGACGGGATCCTGCCTGGAGCTGCCTCTGTGGGAATAATGGATCAAATTCCAATGGATCCATCTCCATGGATCAAATCCCCATGGATCAAATCCCCATGGATCCATCCCAATGGATCAATCCCCATCCCTGACCCAGAACAGCCCCTGCAGCCGCTGCGTGGCCAGCCGGGATCCTGCCTGGAGCTGCCTCTGTGGGGATTCCAGGGAATATCCCAATGGATCCATCCCCAATGGATCAAATCCCAATGGATCAATCCCCATGGATCCATCCCAATGGATCAATCCCCATCCCTGACCCAGAACAGCCCCTGCAGCCGCTGCGTGGCCAGACGGGATCCTGCCTGGAGCTGCCTCTGTGGGGATTCCAGGGAATATCCCAATGGATCCATCCCCATGGATCAACCCCCACGGATCCATCCCCATCCCTGACCCAGAACAGCCCCTGCAGCCGCTGCGTGGCCAGACGGGAGCACACCTGGAGCTGCCTCTGTGGGAATAATGGATCAAATCCCAATGGATCCATCCCCAGGGATTAAATCCCAATGGATCAATCCCCATCCCTGACCCAGCACAGCCCCTGCAGCCGCTGCGTGGCCAGCGCGGGATCTCTGCCTGGAGCTGCCTCTGTGGGGATTCAGGGATATCCAATGGATCAAATCTCCAATGGATCCATCCCCGATCCCATCCTGACCCAGCACAGCCCCTGCAGCCGCTGCGTGGCCAGCCGGGATCCTGCCTGGAGCTGCCTCTGTGGAATTCCCATGGATCAAATCCCAATGGATCCATCCCCACGGATTAAATCCCAATGGATCAACCCCCATGGATCCATCCCCATGGATCCATCCCCATCCCTGACCCAGAACAGCCCCTGCAGCCGCTGCGTGGCCAGCCGGGATCCTGCCTGGAGCTGCCTCTGTGGAGATTCCAGGGAATATCCCAATGGATCAATCCCCATGGATTAAATCCCAATGGATCAAATCCCAATGAATCAACCCCCATGGATCCATCCCCATCCCTGACCCAGAACAGCCCCTGCAGCCGCTGCGTGGCCAGCCGGGATCCTGCTCGGAGCTGCCTCTGTGGAATTACCATGGATCAATCCCCAGGGATCAAATTCCAATGGATCAAATCCCAATGAATCAATCCCCACGGATCCACCCCCATCCCTGACCCAGAACAGCCCCTGCAGCGGCTGGTGGCCAGACGGGATCCTGCTCTGGAGCTGTCTCTGTGGAAATTCCAGGAATATCCCAATGGATCCATCTCCATGGATTAAATCCCAATGGATCAAATCCCATGGATCAAATCCCAATGGATCAATCCCCATGGATTAAATCACCATGGACCCATCCCCATCCCTGACCCAGAACAGCCCCTGCAGCCGCTGCGTGGCCAGCCGGGATCCTGCCTGGAGCTGCCTCTGTGGGAATAATGGATCAAATCCCAATGGATCAAATCCCAATGGATCAAATCCCAATGGATCATCCCCATCCCTGACCCAGAACAGCCCCTGCAGCCGCTGCGTGGCCAGCCGGGATCCTGCCTGGAGCTGCCTCTGTGGAATTCCCATGGATCAACCCCCAGGGATCAACCCCCATGGATCAATCCCATCAATCCCAATGGATCCATCCCAATGGATCCACCCCCATCCCTGACCCAGAACAGCCCCTGCAGCCGCTGCGTGGCCAGCCGGGATCCTGCCTGGAGCTGTCTCTGTGGGAATAATGGATCAAATTCCAATGGATCCATCCCCATGGATCAAATCCCAATGGATCAATCCCATCCCTGACCCAGAGCAGCCCCTGCAGCCGCTGCGTGGCCAGCCGGGATCCTGCCTGGAGCTGCCTCTGTGGGAATAATGGATCAAATTCCCATGGATCAAATCCCAATGGACCAAATCCCAATGGATCCATCCCATCCCTGACCCAGAACAGCCCCTGCAGCCGCTGCGTGGCCAGCCGGGATCCTGCCTGGAGCTGCCTCTGTGGAATTCCCATGGATCAATCCCCATGGATCAAATCCCAATGGATCAATCCCCATGGATCCACCCCCATGGATCAATCCCATCCTGATCCCCATGGATCCATCCCCATGGATCCATCCCCATCCCTGACCCAGAACAGCCCCTGCAGCCGCTGCGTGGCCAGACGGGATCCCACCCGGAGCTGCCTCTGTGGAATTCCCATGGATCAAATCCCAATGGACCAAATCCCAATGGATCAATCCCCATGGATCCATCCCCATCCCTGACCCAGAACAGCCCCTGCAGCCGCTGCGTGGCCAGCCGGGAGCCTGCCTGGAGCTGCCTCTGTGGAATTCCCATGGATCAAATTCCAATGGATCAAATCCCAATGGATCAAATCCCAATGGATCAATCCCCATGGATCAAATCCCAATGGATCAATCCCCATGGATCAATCCCCATGGATCAATCCCCATGGATCCATCCCAATGGATCAATCCCCATCCCTGACCCAGCACAGCCCCTGCAGCCGCTGCGTGGCCAGCCGGGATCCTGCCTGGAGCTGCCTCTGTGGAATTCCCATGGATCAAATTCCAATGGATCCATCCCCATGGATCCATCCCCATCCTGATGCCACGGGGTCAATCCCCGTCCCCATCCCAATGGACCAATCCCAGTGGATCAATCCCCATCCCCAACCCGGAGCTGCCTCTGCTGGATTCCAATGGATCCCACAGGGATCAATCCCCATCCTGATCCCGATCCCATTCCCAATCCCACTCCAACCCCACAGGGATCAATCCCCATCCTGATCCCATTCCCATTCCCAATCCCACTCCAGCCCCACAGGGATCAATCCCCATCCCAATCCCATTCCCAATCCCATTCCCATTCCTGATCCCACTCCAGCCCCACAGGGATCAATCCCCATCCTGACCCAAATCCCAATCCCATTCCTGATCCCCCTCCAACCCCACAGGGATCAGTGCCCATCCTGATCCCAATCCCATTCCCATTCCTGATTCCACTCCAGCCCCACAGAGATCAATCCCCATCCTGATCCCAATCCCATTCCCATTCCTGATCCCACTCCAACCCCACAGGGATCAATCCCCATCCTGATCCTGATCCTGATCCCAATCCCATTCCTGATCCCACTCCCAATCCCAATCCCATTCCTGATCCCACTCCAACCCCACAGGGATCAATCCCCATCCTGATCCCAATCCCATTCCCATTCCCGATCCCATTCCAACCCCACAAGGATCAATCCCCATCCTGATCCTGATCCCAATCCCATTCCTGATTCCACTCCAACCCCACAGGGATCAATCCCCATCCTGATCCCAATCCCATTCCTGATCCCACTCCAACCCCACAGGGATCAATCCCCATCCTGATCCCAATCCCAATCCCATTCCAACCCCACAGGGATCAATCCCCATCCTGATCCCAATCCCATTCCCATTCCCATTCCTGATCCCACTCCAACCCCACAGGGATCAATCCCCATCCTGATCCCAATCCCATTCCCATTCCCATTCCTGATCACTCCAACCCCACAGGGATCAATCCCCATCCTGATCCCAATCCCATTTCTGATCCCACTCCAACCCCACAGGGATCAATCCCATCCTGATCCCAATCCCAATCCCATTCCCATTCTCAATCCCACTCCAACCCCACAGGGATCAATCCCCATCCTGATCCCAATCCCATTCCCATTCCCAATCCCACTCCAACCCCACAGGGATCAATCCCCATCCCAATCCCAATCCCATTCCTGATCCCACTCCAACCCCACAGGGATCAATGCCCATCCTGATCCCATTCCCATTCCCAATCCCACTCCAACCCCACAAGGATCAATCCCCATCCTGATCCCAATCCCATTCCCATTCCCACTCCAATCCTGCTCCCAATTCCCACTCCCACCCCTCTCCCCTCCAATCCCACCCCCCATTCCCAATCCCACCCCCATTCCCATTCCCATTCCCGCTCCCCCCTCACCTTCTGCTTCTCCTCCCTCTCCTTCCGTCGCTGTTTCTCCGTTTTCCTTCCCGGCTGTTCCCGTTTTTTGGGCGGCTCCTCCTTCCCATTCCCATTCCCGTCCTCTTCATCCTCCTCTTCCTCCTCCTCCTCCTCCAGGAGCCCCTCCAGCTGCTCCTGCAGCTTCGACTCCTGCGGAATTCCCGGAATTCCTGGTTTTCCTCTTGGAATTCCCGGTTTTCCTCTTGGAATTCCCGGTTTTCCCGCCGGAATTCCCGGTTTTCCGGGTGTTCTTTCCCACCTGCGTGGCGGGTTCCTCGTGGACCTTCAGCCTCCTCTCCACCTTCTCCTCCTCCCTCCTCCTCCTCGTCTCCACCTCCAGCGCCCGACGCAGCAGAGCCTGCGAAAAAAAAAAGGGGAGAATCCCAAAAATCCCGACTGGGAACACTTCAAATCCCAACTGGGAACACCCCAGTCCCAACTGGAATCCGTAAATCCCAACCAGAATCCTTAAATCGCCCCAGGAATCGCCCAAATCCCACCAGGAATCCCTAAATCGCCCCAGGAATCCCCAAATTCCAACAGGGATCACCCCAAATCCCACCAGGAATCCCCAAATCCCACCAGGAATCCCCAAATTCCAACAGGGATCACCCCAAATCCCACCAGGAATCCCCAAATTCCAACTGGGATCACCCCAAATCCCACCAGGAATCCCCAAATTCCAACTGGGAACATCCCAAATCCCATCAGGAATCCCTAAACTGCACCACAAATCACCCCCATCCCTACTGGAATCACCCCAAATTCCAACTGGGATCCCTAAATCCCATCTGGGAACGTCCAAATCTTCACTGGGAATCCCTAAATTGCACCTGGAATTCCCCAAATCCCACCCAGGAATCACCCAAATCCCACCTGGGAACCCCCAAATTCCAACTGGGAACCCCCAAATCCCAACTGGGAATCCCCAAATTCCAGCTGGAATCACCCAAATTCCACCGGGAATTCCTGAATCTCTTCTAGACCCCCCAAACCCCCTCTGGAACCCCCCAAAAAATGCCCAGGACCCCCCAAAGCACCCCCAGGACCCCCCAAACCCCCTCTGGGACCCCCCAAAATGCCCAGGACACCCCAAAGCACCCCAGGACCCCCAAATGCCCTCTGAGCACCCCCTGGACCCCCAAAAATGCCCAGGATCCCCCAAAGCAACCCCAGGACCCCCAAGCCCCCTCAGAGCCCCTTCCAAGCACCCCAGGACCCCCAAACACCCTCAGAGCCCCCAGGACCCCCAAAAATGCCCAAGACCCCCAAAGCACCCCCAGGACCCCCAAAGCAACCCCAGGACCCCCAAGCGCCCTCAGAGCCCCCAGGAGCCCCCAAAAATGCCCAGGACCCCCAGAGCACCCCCAGGACCCCCAAATCCCCTCTGGGACCCCAGATCCCCTCTGGGACCCCCAAAGCCCCCAGGACCCCCAAAGCCCTCTGAGGCCCCCAAGAGCCCCAGAAATGCCCAAGACCCCCAAACCTGGTGCTCCTGGAAGGGGGTTGTAAAGCCCCCGGGCCGATGACCTCGATGGGGGGAGGGCGGAGGCTTCGTCTGCAGCCGGGGGCCTCTGGAGAAATTGGGGGGAGGAACCCCAAAATGAGACCCCCACCCTTGGGAGGTCTCAGAGGGATTTGGGGGTGAGTGGGACAATTCAGGGGCGGTTTGGGGGTGAAGCTCAAAGGGTTTGGGGGGCTCAAAGGGTTTGGGGGTCTGAGAGTCCAGGGGAGGTTTGGGGGTCTCAGATCTGGAGAGCTCAGGGGATGTTTTGGGGGTCTCAGAGATGATTTAGGGGGTCCCAGGGGTGTTTGGGCGGTTCGGAGGTTTTGGGGCTCAAGGATGTTTTGGGGGTCCCAGGGTGTTTTTGGGCGGTTCAGGGGTTTTTGGGGGGCTCAGGGATGTTTTGGGGGTCCCAGAGGGGGTCTTGGGGGGGCTCAGAGGGATCTTGGGGGTGGTTTGAGGGGGCTTTTGGGGTCCTGGGAGTGGAGATGTTTTTGGAGAGCTCAGGGATGTTTGGGGGGGGCTTAGGGATGATTTGGGGGTCCCAGGGGTTTGGGGTCCCAGGGGGTTGAGAGGTCAGAGGGTCCCCAAACCCCCTGGATCCCCCCAAAATTCTCACCTGCACCGGCAGCTTCTTGGTCTGCTGGAGGTACCAACGGTCCTGCCCCTCAGGGGGTCTGGGGAGCCCCAAAAATGCTTTTAGGGGCTCCAAAACCAGAGACCCCCTGAACACCCAAAGAGCCCCTGGGCCCTAAATTAACCCCACCTAAAACGGACTTTGCTCCACCTAAAAACTGGCCTGGAACCCCAAAAAGAGCTCTTGGTATGCCCCAAAATCGACCCCCTACCCCATAAATTGACCCCAACCCCCCAAAAAAATCACCCCCAAAATGCTTCAGAATCATCCCAAGCCCCCCCCCAAAATCACCCCAAACCCCAAAATCACTCAAATCACCCCCAAACTGCTCCAAAATCACCCCAACTCCCCAAAAAATCATCCCCAAGCCCACCCAAAAATCACTCCCCAACCCCCAAAAATCACCCGATCCTCCCCAAAATCACTTTAATCCTCCCCAAAAATCCACCCAAATCGCCATCAGGCCCCATCAAATCCTCAGACCCCAAATCATCAGATCACCCCCAAACTGTCCCAAGATCACCCCAGCCACCAAAAATCACTTAAAGCCTTCCCAAGAATCACTCCCAAGACCCCCAGAAAATCACCAAATCCTCCCCAAAGATCATCCTAAGCCCCTCAGAAATCATCTGAAACTCCCCAAGAATCACCGTCATCCTCCCCAAAATCACCCTAGATCGCCCCCAATCCTCCATCAGATCGCCCAAACCACCAGATCCTCCAAATCACCCCCAAGCTGCTCCAAAATCACTCGACCCCAATCACTCCCCGAAAATCATCCCAATCCCCCAGAAATCATCCCGATCCTCCCCAAAATCACCCCAAGCCCCCAAAAATCACCTCAAGCCCCCCAAAAATCACCCCAATCCTCCCCAAAATCACCCCAAGACCCCCAAAATCACCCAAATCATCCCCAAATCGCCCCAACCCCCAAATCCTGCAGCCCCCAAATCCCCATAGCTCACTCCAACCCCCCAAATCCCCCCCCAAATCCTCACCCTGCTCCCCCCAGATGTCGTAGAAGTCCCTGTGGGGGTCTGAGCGCCCCAGCTCGGGGGGTTTTTGGGGGGTTTCTGGGGGTGCCCCCCGGGCCAGGCGTGCCCGGAGCCGCCGCTCCCCCCGCGGCAAAATCCCCTTTTCCGCTTTTTTCGCCCAAAATTCCCGGCGTTTCTTCTCCTTCCGCCCGTTCGGGGTCTGGTGGGCGCAGATGCTGCACAAAAAAGGGGGGGACACCCCAAAAATCAGCCCCTAAATCGACCCCCAGACTCATTTTGGGGGGATTGGAACCCAAAATTCCCCCACAGGATCATTTTTTTGGGGAGTTTGGATCCCTAAATCCCCCCTAAACTCTCTTTTTTGGGGAATTGGAAGCCAAACCCCCCCCCCTCAGGTTCATTTTTTGGGGAATTGGAACCCAAAATCCCCCCCAGGTTCATTTTTTGGAGAATTTGAACCCAAACTCTCCCCCCTAAACTTTCTTTTTTTGGGGATTTAAGCCCAAAATTCCCCCCACAGGTTCATTTTTTGGGGAATTGGAACCCAAAATTCCCCCTACAGGTTCATTTTTTTGGGGAGTTTGAACCCCTTAATCCCCCCTAAACTCTCTTTTTTGGGGGATTTGAATCCAAAATCACCCCCCCCCCAAGTTCATTTTTTGGGGAATTGGAATCCAAAGTCTCTCCACAGACTCATTTTTGGGGGGTTTGAACCCCCAAATCCCCCCCAGACTCACTTTTTGAGGGGACTTGAACCCAAAATCCCCCCCAAACTCTCTTTTTAGGGGCACTTGAGCCCCAAAAATCACTCCTAAATTCACTTTTTGGGGAGTTTTAAATTCCAAATGCTCCCTGAACTCTTTTTTTAGGGGAAGTGGAACCCAAAATCCCCCCTCCAGACTCACTTTTTGGGGGGGGGCACCTTGGAGAGGGGCTGCAGAACGAGGTCCACGTGAAGGGGCTTCTCTGGGGGCTTCCTGAGCCGTCGACCTTGTGTGGGGAGGGGGAATCAGAGCATTTAGAGACCCCCAAAATCCTCAGTGGGAGTGTTAAAATTTGGGGGGTTCCCCCACAAAAAACAAAGCCAAAAATAAACTCACTTTTGGGGGCATTTCCCGTGTCCAGAAAGAAAAGCCCCTCATTGGGTTGCTCTGAAATCAGACCCCTGAAAAGAGAACCCCCCTTTAAAATTAGGGATCTCCCTCCTCAAAATTGGGGACCCCCTGAACCTCAAGGAGCCTCTTCCCCTAAATTTGGGGTCCCTTCAAAAAATTAGAGACTTCCCCCTAATCCCACCCAGGATCCCCCAAACCCCCTTTGGGATCCCATAAAACCAAACAAACTCCCTCAGGACCCCCCTAAATCCCCTCATGACACCTCCAAACCCCCTCTAGGACCCCCAAACCCCTTCAGGACCCCCCAAACCCCTTCTGGGACCCCCTAAACCCCTTCTGGGACCCCCTAAACCCCTTTGGGACCCCCCAAACCCCCTCTAGGACCCACCCCAAACCCCTTCTAGGACCCCCAAACCCTTCTAGGACCCCTAAATCCCTTTGGGACCCCCAAAACCCCCTGGGATGCCCCAAACTCCCTCAGAACCCCCCCAAATCCCCTCATGACACCCCTAAGCCCCCTCTGGGATCCCCGATACCCCTTCACGACCGTCCTCAACTTTCCTCTGAGACCCTCCCCAAAGTCCCCACGACCCCTTTAAACCCGCTCTGGGAACCCCCCTTCCTCCTTAACCCTCCTCAGGACCCCTCAAACCCTCCCCAAAAACCCCCTCCTCCTTCCTCACCCCGCCGCCCGCTCCTGCAGCCCCACGTCCTCGAGGAAATCGCCGATCTCGCGGCCCAGCCGCGCCTCGGGGCCGCTCCAGCGCTTCCAGCCCTTCTTGCGGTTGCGGGGCCCGCGGTGGCGGCGGCGGGAGGCGGCGGAGGAGCCGCCGCGGGAGCCGGGGCCGAAGGGCAGGAACGACTCGCCCGCCGCCATTTCGTGAGGGGAAAGGGGAGGGGGGGGAAGGAGGCGGAAGTGGCCCTGAGGCGGCTTCCGGCCGGAAAAAGGGCGGGAACTCGCAGGGCGCCGCCATTTTGGGGAGGGCGGTGTCCCAACGGGTCACCAAAGCGGCTCCGAAGTGAGGTAAAACCGCCGCGAGTGGTCCCAAACACTCACTAAAATGATCCCAAAGCCTTAAATGGGATTAATTTTCGCCCAGATGGGCACGAATTCGTTCTCTTTCCCCGCCCCGAGACGCTCGAACAGCGCGGCCGGAAAAGGGCGGGAACGCGCAAGGGGGCCGACATTTTGAGGAGGGAGCGACGCGGCCGCGCCGCCATCTTGGGGAGGGCGGCGCCGAAACGCGCCACAAAACCACCCAGAATTAACCCAAAACTCGCCCAAAATGATATCAAACCTCCCTAAAGTGATCCCCAAAGCGCAGAAGCGGCCCCGAAGCCTCTCCGGCTGCGCTCAAAACACCACGTGGAGGAAGGAACCGGCCTTCTTGAGGAGGTGAGGAGATGTCGTGTCCCCGCCGCCATCTGGGGAAGGTCATTGCCCATCCCCAGCACTGGGGAGCTGTGCCCTAAAACCCCCCAAAATGTGCCTTAAAGCCCCCCAAAATGCGCCCTAAAGCCCCTCAAAATGCGCCCTAAAAAAACTCCAAATGGCCCCTAAAAACCCCCAAAATGTGCCTTTTTCCCACCCCCCCAAAAATCACGACACCCGCCTCAGTCTCACTCTGCCTTTATTAGAGGGGTCCCCGGGGGGTGAAAGGGGGGAATTCCCTGGATTTTGGGGGGTCCCTGGGGGGTCTCTGTGCTTGGTTCGAGGGGGTTCTCTTGGGGTGGTCCCTGTAGGGGGGTGCCTGGTTTTGGGGGGGGGGTGCAAGGTGGTTTTTGGGGCTCCCTGGGGGTGTGTCCTTAATTTTGGGGCAGGGGGTCCCTGGTTTTGGGGGGCAGGAGGTCCCCGATGTGGGGGATTTTTAGGAGATTTTTTTGGGGTCACTCCTTGGACCCTTTTGGCGTCCTCTTGGGTAGATGAAGGGTCCCTGATTTGGGAGATTTTTATGATGATTTTGGGGTCACTCCTTGGACCCCTTTGTGCCTCCTCATGGATAGACGAGGGTGATTTTGGGGAGATTTCTGGATGGATTTTTGGATTTTGGGGTCACTCCTTGGACCCCTTTGTACCTCCTCAGGGATAGACGAGGGTGATTTTGGGGAGATTTCTGGATGGATTTTGGGTGGATTTTGGGGTCACTCCTTTGATCCTTTGGGCCTTCTCTTGGATAGATGAGGGGTCCCTGATTTGGGGGTTTTTGTCTGGATTTTGGGGTCACTCCTTGGACATTTGGGTTTGTCTGATTTGGGTCACTCCTGATCCTTTGGGCCTTCTCTTGGATAGATGAGGGGTCCCCAATTGAGGTGATTTTGGGAGGGTTTTTGTCTGGATTTTGGGGTCACTCCTTTGATCCCTTTGGGCCTCCTCTTGGATAGATGAGGGGTCCCCAATTGAGGTGATTTTAGGAGGGTTTTTATCTGGATTTTGGGGTCACTCTTTAGACCCTTCGTGCCTCCTCTTGGACAGATGAGGGGTCCCTGATATGGGTAATTTCTGGGGAGATTTCTGGGTGGATTTGGGGTGATTTTGGGGTCACTCCTTAGACCCCTCGTGCCTCCTCTTGGACAGACAAGGGGTCCCTGATTTGGGCAATTTTCTGGATGGATTTTGGGAGGGTTTTGTCTGGATTTTGAGGTCGCTCCTTGGACCCCTCGTGCCTCCTCTTGGATAGACGAGGGGTCCCTGATTTGGGCAGTTTCTGGGGGGATTTCTGGATGGATTTCTAGCTGAATTTTGGGCTCACTCCTTGGAGCCCTTGCCCCTCCTCTTGGACAGACAAGGGGTCCCCGACTTAGGTGATTTTGGGAGGATTTTTATTTGGATTTTGGAGTCACTCCTTAGACCCCTCGTGCCTCCTCTTGGATAGATGAGAGGTCCCTGATTTGGGCAGTTTCTGGGGAGATTTCTTGATGGATTTCTAGATGAATTTTAGGCTCACTCCTTAGACCCCTCGTGCCTCCTCTTGGATAGATGAGAGGTCCCTGATTTGGGCAGTTTCTGGGGAGATTTCTTGATGGATTTCTAGATGAATTTTAGGCTCCTCCTTAGACCCCTCGTACCTCCTCTTGGATAGATGAGAGGTCCCTGATTTGGGCAGTTTCTGGGGAGATTTCTTGATGGATTTCTAGATGAATTTTAGGCTCACTCCTTAGACCCCTCGTGCCTCCTCTTGGACAGACAAGAGATCCCTGATTTGGGCAGTTTCTGGGGAGATTTCTTGATGGATTTCTAGATGAATTTTAGGCTCACTCCTTAGACCCCTCGTACCTCCTCTTGGATAGATGAGAGGTCCCTGATTTGGGCAGTTTCTGGGGAGATTTCTTGATGGATTTCTAGCTGAATTTTGGGCTCACTCCTTGTACCCCTCGTGCCTCCTCTTGGATAGATGAGAGGTCCCTGATTTGGGCAGTTTCTGGGGAGATTTCTGGATGGCTTTGGGGTGATTTTGGGCTCACTCCTTAGACCCCTCGTGCCTCCTCTTGGACAGACGAGGGGTCCCTGATTTGGGCAGTTTCTGGGGAGATCTCTGGACGGCTTTGGGGTGATTTTGGGCTCACTCCTTGGACCCCTCGTGCCTCCTCTTGGACAGACGAGGGGTCCCTGATTTGGGCAATTTCTGGAGAGATTTCTGGACGGCTTTCTAGCTGAATTTCGGGCTCACTCCTTGCATCCCTTGTCCCTCCTCTTGGAGGGCGGCACGAGCCTGGGGGGCAGATCAGCGGGCAGCCCCCTCCCCCTGAGCTTGGCCCCGATGAGGTGGCCGGCCAGGGCGAACTCCTCGTGGTCGAGCATCCCATCCCCATCGACGTCGCTGAGCTGCCAGATGCGGCCCAGCACCGAGCTGGGCAGGTTGCTGCTCACCATCCAGCCCTTGGCACGGCGCCCGCTCAGCTTGCCGTCGCTGGGGGCCAGCCCGTAGAAGATCTCGTCGTATTTGGCCTTGTCCTTCGTCACCACCCACTCCTCATCGTCATCATCGTCGTCGTTATCGTCGTTTTCCTCGTCGTCGTCGTCGCTGTCGCTGAGGGTGGAGAAGGGCCCCGACTCGTCCCCGTCCAGGACCCCTCCCCGCACGCCCGGGGGTCCCTCGGGGGGTGCCCCCAGCAGGGGGGACAGGGCGGGCAGGTCCCGGCTCAGCAGCTCGTCCAGCCCTTCCAGGAGCCGCCGCTTCAGGGGGGGCAGCCGGGACAGGTCCTGGCTCAGCAGCTGCTCCTGGGGGGGACAGGGGGGCAACGTTGGGGGGCTGCAGATCACTGCAGGTCACAGCAGATCGCTGCAGATCTCAGAAGATCTCAGCAGGTCACTGCAGATCACTGCAGGTCTCAGCAGATCCCACTGGATCCCAGAAGTCTGGGGTGTCAGGGTGCCTCCAGATCCCACTGGATCCCAGCAAAGGGGGGGGCAAGGTGGCTCCAGGTCCCTCCAGATCCAGTGATATCACACAGGATCCCATCAGATCCCACTGGATCCCAGCAATATGGGGGGCAGGGGGTTCCAGATTCCAGTGGATCCCAACAGTCTGGGGGCTCAGGGTGCTTCCAGATCCCAACAGATCCCATGGGGTCCCAGCAATGTGTGTGGGGTAGGGGGTTCCTGTCACAACAGATCCCACTGGATCCCAACAATCTGGGGGTCAGGGTGTCTCCGGATCCCACTGGATCTACTGATGTCCCACCAGATCCCACTGGATCCCAGCGATCAGGGGTCAGGGTGGCCCCAGTTCCCACCACATCCAGTGATATCACACAGGATCCCATCAGATCCCACAGGATCCCAGCAGGTTTGTGGTCAAGGCACCTCCAGATCCCACGGGATCCCAGCAATGGGGGGGGATCAGGGGGCTCCAGATCCCACTGGATCCCAGCAGGTTTTATGTCAGGGTGACTCCAGATCCCTCCAAATCCCACTGGATCCCAACAGTCTGGGGGGATCAGGGTGCCCCCAGATCCCACTGGATCCAGTTATGTCCCACCAGTTCCCACTGGATCCCAACAATCGGGGGGGGGGTCAGGGTGCCTCCAGATCCCAGCAGATCCCACTGGATCCCAAAAGCCTGGGGGGTCAAGGTGCCTCCAGATTCCACCAGCCCCAGTTACATCCCCCAAATCCCCCCAGATCCCCTCAGATCCCCCCCCCAACCCCCCACCTGGAGTCGGGCGCAGTCCGGGAGGTCCCCGGGCGGGATCTGCTGCTCCCTCTGGATCTGGGCCAGGAGCGCCGGGAGCCTCCGGATCAGCCTCTTGCGGCGGCCGCCGACGCCCCCCAGGAGTGTTGGCACCTCCTGGCGCAGCCGGGACAGCAGCAGGGCGTGCACCTGGGGTGCACAGGGGATCACCAAGGGGATCCCCCCGATTCCTAAATGATCCCAGGATCACCCCCAAATCCCTGGGGAACTCCAGGGGATCCCCCTGACCTCCCCCCAGAGTGCCAGCACCTCCTGGCGCAGCCGGGACAGCAGCAGGGCGTGCACCTGGGATGCTACAGGAGATCACCAAGGATCCCCTGATTCCTAAATGATCCCAGGATCACCCCCAAATCCCTGGGGAACTCCAGGGGATCCCCCTGACCTCCCCCCAGCAGCGTGGGCACCTCCTGGCGCAGCCGGGACAGCAGCAGGGCGTGCACCTGGGGGGCACAGGAGGATCCCCCCGATTCCTAAATGATCCCAGGATCACCCCCAATCCCTGGGGAACTCCAGGGGATCCCCCTGACCTCCCCCCAGGAGTGTGGGCACCTCCTGGCGCAGCCGGGACAGCAGCAGGGCGTGAACCTGGGGGGCACAGGGGGATCATCTGATTCCTAAATGATCCCAGGATCACCCCCAATCCCTGGGGAACTCCAGGGGATCCCCCGGATCCATGGGAAGCTCCAAGAGATCCCAGGATCCCCCTGTTCCCTGGGGAATTCCAAGGGATCCCCTCCATCCATGGGCAACCCCCAGTGGATCTCCCAACCCCTGGGGAGCTCCAGTGGATCCCCCAACTCCTGGGAAGCTCCAGTGGATCCCCCAGTCCCTGAGGAACTCCAGTGGATCCCCCAACCCTTGGGAAGCTCCAGTGGATCCCCCAATCCATGGGAAGCTCTGAGTGGTTTTGGAACCCCTGGGAAGCTCCAGTGGATCCCCCAACCCCTGGGAAGCTCCAGTGGATCCCCCAAGCCCCAGGAAGCTCTGAGTGGTTTGGGGATCCTCCCAGTTCCCTGGGGAACCTCCAGTGGATCCCCCCAACCCCTGGGAAGCTCTGAGTGGTTTGGGGACCCCCCCAAACCCCCAATGACCCCATTTCCCCCTCACCCTGACTTGTCTGGCCCTCTTGACCACCTCGTTGACCTTCCTGCGGCCTCTCCTGGATCTCCTGAACCCCCCAACCCCCGGGGCAGGCCCAAGACCCCCTCAAACCCCAAATGACCCCCCCAAACCCCTCACCCTGACTTGTCTGGCCCTCTTGACCACCTCATTGACCTTCCTGCGGCCTCTCCTGGATCTCCTGAACCCCCCAACCCCTGGGGCAGCCCCCAGTGACCCCAGGACCCCCAAACCCCAAGAATCCCCCAGTGACCCCATTTCCCCCTCACCCTGACTTGTCTGGCCCTCTTGACCACCTCGTTGACCTTCCTGTGGGCGGCCTGGGCAGGCAGGGCCCGGATCTCTCGGAGCAGCTCCCGCTCCTCCCTCTCCAGGAGCCTCCTCATGGCCGGGTGGGGCAGCGGGCGGGCCCCGAACGCCCCCAGGAACACCCTGGGCACCTCGGGGGCCCCCAGGGCCCTGCCCAGCGCCCAGAGCAGGGCCCCATAAACCCTGAGCAGCCGCTGGGGCTCCTCCAGAGCGTCCGCCTTGCTCAGCACCACCCGCAGCTTCTCCTCGTGGCCCCGCAGCGCGCCCAGCGCCGACAACAGCTCGGCCGGCACCGCCGCCAGGCTGCGGGCATCGAACAGCAAGAGGATGAGAGAGGCTCGTTCAGCAAACCAGCGCAGCACACCCGGGAAATCATAGCCTGGAGAGAGAAAAACCAGTGAAAATTGGGTTAAAATTGGTTAAAAATGGTTAAAATGGGGTCAGGAACATCCAGATCCCAACCCTGGCACCGCCGCCAGGCTGCGGGCATCGAAGAGAAGGAGGATGAGAGAGGCTCGTTCAGCGAACCAGCGCAGCACACCCGGGAAATCATAGCCTGGAAACAGTGAAAAATGGGTTAAAATTGGGTAAAATGGGGTCAGGAACATCCAGATCCCAACCCCGGCACCGCCGCCAGGCTGCGGGCATCGAACAGCAGGAGCACCAGGGAGGCTCGTTCTGCGAACCAGCGCAGCACACCCGGGAAATCATAGCCTGGAATGGGTTAAAACATGGAAAAAATGGTTAAAAATGGGTTAAAAATGGGTAAAATGGGGTCAGGAATGTCCAGATCCCAACCCTGGCACCGCCGCCAGGCTGCGGGCATCGAAGAGAAGGAGGATCAGGGAGGCTCGTTCTGCAAACCAGCGCAGCACACCCGGGAAATCATAGCCTGGAAATGAGAGAAAATGGGTTAAAAATGGGTAAAATGGGGTCAGGAACATCCAGATCCCAACCCTGGCACCGCCGCCAGGCTGCGGGCATCGAACAGCAGGAGGATGAGAGAGGCTCGTTCTGCAAACCAGCGCAGCACACCCGGGAAATCATAGCCTGGAGAGAGAAAAACCAGTGAAAATTGGGTTAAAATGGATTAAAATTGGTTAAAATGGGGTCAGGAATGTCCAGATCCCAACCCCGGCACCGCCGCCAGGCTGCGGGCATCGAACAGCAGGAGGATGAGAGAGGCTCGTTCAGCGAACCAGCGCAGCACACCCGGGAAATCATAGCCTGGAAATGAGAGAAAATGGGTTAAAAATGGTTAAAAATGGGTTAAAAATGGGTAAAATGGGGTCAGGAACGTCCAGATCCCAACCCCGGCACCGCCCCCAGGGTGTGGGCATCGAACAGCAGCAGCACCCCTGGGAAATCATAGCCCAAAACACGGAAAAAATGAGAGAAAATGAAAAAAAATTGGGTTAAAATGGGGGAAAAATGGGTTAAAATTGGGAAAAAATGGGTTAAAAATGGTTATATCGGGATTAGGAATGTCCAGATCCCAACCCTGGCACCGCCCCCAGGGTGTGGGCATCGAACAGCAGCAGCACCCCTGGGAAATCATAGCCCAAAACACGGAAAAAAATGAGAGAAAATGAAAAAAAAAGGGTTAAAATGGGGAAAAAATGGATTAAAATGGGGAAAAATGGGGGTAGGAATATCCAGATCCCAACCCCGGCACCGCCGCCAGGGTGTGGGCATCGAACAGCAGGAACACCCCTAGGAAATCATAGCCTGAAATGGGGAAAAAATGAGAGAAAATGAAAAAAAATGGGTTAAAAATGGGTTAAAAATGGTTAAATTGGGGTCAGGAACATCCAGATCCCAACCCCAGCACTGCCCTCAGGGTGTGGGCATCGAATAACAGGAACACCCCTGGGAAATCATAGCCTGAAATGGAGAAAAAATGAGAGAAAATGAAAATAAATTGGGTTAAAATGGGTTAAAATGGGTAAAAACGGGGGTAGGAACATCCAGGTCCCAACCCTGGCCGTGGGTGTGGAACGGCAGCAGCACCCCTGGGAAATCACAGCCTGGGAGAGGGGAAAAATGGGGAAAAATGGAGGGAAAAATGGGGGAAACAGGTTAAAAACTGAGAAAATAGGGAGAAAATTGGGTTAAAAATGGTTAAAATAGGGTTAGGAACGTCCAGACCCCAAATCCAGCCCTGACCCCAAAATGATCCCGTTCCAGACCCCAAGTCCAGTCCTAATCCCCTTTTTTTTTGGGGGGTGGGGGTGGGGTGGGATTTTGTGAGGATTTTGGGGTGTTTTGGGGAAGATTTGGGGAAGATTTGGGGGATTTTGGGGGTGTTTTGGGGAAGATTTGGGGGGGAATTTCGGAGGATTTTGGGGGTGTTTTGGGGAGGATTTGGGGGGTTTTGGGAGGATTTTGGGGTGTTTTGGGGGGATTTTGGGAGGATTTTGGGAGTGTTTGGGGAGGATTTAGGAGGATTTTGGAGGTTTTGGGGAGGATTTGGGGGATTTAGGGTGTTTGGGGAGATTTGGTGATTAATGGGAGGATTTTGGGGTGTTTTGGGGAGGATTTGGGAGAATTTTGGGGGGTGTTTTGGGGAGGATTTGGGGGGCATTTATGGGAGGATTTTGGGGGTGTTTGGGGAGGATTTGGGGGGCATTTATGGGAGAATTTTGGGGTGTTTGGGGGAGCATTTGGGAGGGATTTTGGGAGGATTTTGGGGTGTTTTAGGGGGGGATTTTTGGAGAATTTTGGGGTGTTTTGGGGAGGATTTGAGGGGTGTTATGGGAGGATTTTGGGGGGATTTATGGGAGGATTTTGGGGTGTTTTGGGGGGGATTTTGGGGGGATTTTGGGAGAACTTTGGGGTGTTTTGGGGAGGATTTGGGGGGCATTTTGGGAGGATTTTGGGGTGTTTTGGGTTTTTTTGGGGGAGGATTTTGTGATTTTTTTTGGGTGTTTTGGGGAGAATTTGGGGGGGATTTATGGGAGGATTTTGGGGTGTTTTCGGTTTTTTTGGGGGAGGATTTTTTTGTTTTTTGGGGTGTTTTGGGGAGGATTTGAGGCTGTGCCTGGGGTGAAGTTTGAGGGGGGTTTAGGCCATTTTTGGGGTGGTTTGAGTTGATTTTGGGTCCCAGCCAAGGATTTTGGGTGGGGAAGGGCGGGGGGAGGGTGGGGCCCCCAGCATTCCTGGGAATTTTGCCAAAATTCCAGGGCCAAAAAATACCCCCTGGGATCCCCCCTTGGACCCTCCCCACCCCAAAAATCTGCCAAAAAAGGGGAGAGGCGGGAATAAAAGGGGGAAAATGGGGAAAAGAAGGGGAAAAATGGGGAAAAGGGGAAAAAGGAGGGAAAAGAGGAAAAATGGGGAAAGAGGAAAAAATGGGGAAAAGAGGAAAAGAGAAAAATGGGGAAAAAGGGGAAAGGGGAAAAGGGAGAAAGGGGAAAAAAGAGGGAGAAAGGGGAGGAAATAGGGAAAAAGGGGGGAAAAGAAGGGGAAAAGGGTAAAAAAAAGGGAAAAAAGGGGGGAAAAGGGGATTAGGGCTGGATTTGGGGTCTGGAATGGGACCCCCCCCCTTTCACCCCAAATTCAACCCCTTCATTTTTTGGGGTCCTCCTGTTTTGGAGTCCCCTGAATTTTTGGGACCTTCACCAAATTCCCTCCCTTCCCCCTTTCCTGTTCCCGATTTTGAGCTCCCTCCTTTCCAGGGTGGGTTTTTTGGGGGGATCCCCCCGGGTTTTTGTCCCCCCCTTTTTGGGGATCCCCCGGGTTTTTGTCCCCCATTTTTGGGGACCCCCTCCCCAGGTATTTTGGGGACCCCCTTTTTACCCCCCAAATTTTTGGATTCCCGATTTTCAGCTCCCTCCTTTTTTTTAGGGGACCCCCCGGGGGTTTTTGGGACCCCCCATTTTTTTGGGGACCTCCCCCCCCATTTTTGGGGGGACCCTCTCCCCCTTCCCCAAGTATTTTGGGGACCCCCTTTTTACCCCCCAAATTTTTGGGTTCCCGATTTTCAGCTCCCTCCTTTTTTTGGGGGGAACCTCCCCCGGGTTTTGGGACCCCAGGGTTTTGGGACCCCCATTTTTTGGGGACCTCCCCATTTTTTGGGGACTCCCCCCTCCCCAGGTATTTTAGGGACC